ACTCACATCTGCCTCTGAGTCCTGACTGCTGGGATTAAAGGCAGATGACACCACTCCTGGTCTGCCAAGGTGTTTTATATGTGTGTATCTTACCTCTGTTACACCCAGATTGCAGGGGTCCCCCAAAAACTACCAGAGTCCACACTCATATGTAAAAGCAAAGAGCCTTTATTCAAGCTTAAAGTTGGACTCTTTGTGTATCCGATGCAGCGATTGAGAGTAGAGAAGTCCAGTCGGGGTAGGGTTTTTATTTTTTGTTGTTGTTTTTTTGTTTGTTTTTTGTTTTTATCATGGTAGAGGTTGCGGTGAGGCAATTTCCAGGGTTCATGACCCTGATTGGCTGACATTTATCTAGGGCGTCTCTGCAAAAAAAAAAAAAAATTGGTGAGTCCTGGGTTCCGAGACTGCTGGTGGTCTTAATCTCATTTTATCGAGTGGTTGGAATGTCAGGTACTTCCCTTTAGACATTGGCCCTGCCTGGGTGGTGTCAGCTATGGCTTTTCCTGGAACTGGGTGCTGCCTGCCATGGCAGCTGTGCCGCCTGGGCCCCCATGTGTGGCCAGGCTGCCTTGGACCCCACAAACTCCAGATTATTTTGAAGTCCACCCCAAATATCATTTGTCAATCCTCTAAAATCTTATTTAAAAGATTAAGACTCATCTGTATAATTCTTTCAGCTTCACAACAGCTCTAGTAATGGAATGCCATGATAGTCTGTGTCTCACGGTGAGACTGCAAGTTTACAGACTTGCTCAGGTCACTCGGCTTATAAGTAAATGGTAGACCACCACACACATGCTGCCTAACTCGACAGCCTGTTCTGCTTACCAAATACCTCCGGACCCTACTGCTGTAGCTAATCCTCACACTAAAGGACCTTCAGAAGAGTGTATTCCCGGGACTGTGACTGCATTTCCATAAGACAATCTCCATATTGGTTTCCTCAAGCTCAGTTACCCCGCCGTGGCTGCAAACTGGATCCCTGTAGGCACACAGGGACGGAATGGTTGGGAGAGGCTCTGGTGTCATCTCTAGTGAAGAAAGGGCCAGCTTGAAATATTAATGAAGTCTATTTAGTAAGGAGCATTGACGAAGCAGTCAAACCCTTGTTGTGATAGTTTGACGTGTTGGAGAAATCCACACTGAGAAGGGACGTGACAGGAAATGTGACTGCCATTGGCGGCCGCTACCGAGGGAACGGAAAGGTTTCTTTTCAAGTGAATTTCCCTTTGCTTTCCTCTCTTGGCAGAGGGAGTCAGTCTTCCCACTGTGTCTTTTCAGTTTGTTTGGAGCACAGCTCATTGTGTTTGTCTCCCGTGTCACACAGCTGCCTTCCCTCCCCAGCCCTTTCTTAGGTCTCTTGCCTGCTGGGTACAGCTTCCACAGCCAGAAATGCTTTCCCACTTGGGAGTCAGTTGGCTGACAAAACAAAGGAGATCTGGAGAGGCAAAACTTACCCCTCCAGAGACCTGACCTAGCAGGCTTCTCCTAAGCATTCAAGCCTGCTGTAGAGAAGCCTGGGATAAACCAACAAAGAGCCAATGATTCTTCTCTTACAATGCAGCCACCTGGTCCATCACATGGTTAAGAACAGAGCAGGTAGCAAGCAAATCCTGTTTATCTATCAGTTAAGACACTTCGCTGCCTCAAATCTAAGAAGATGGAATCTGCATTCTCACCATTAAACAAGCGGCACCTTGACTTTCTGCTTCCTCTCGTCACTGAGATGACTGACATTTGTCAAGTCTTGAATCTGGGTTTCTTCCCTTGCCTTTCCCCCATCCAGTCCCACCTCGGAGGCTGTGTGACTGCTGGAGGACTGCCCTGCCTTCTTATTTTCTCACCGGGGAGCACATTTGGGTCTTCTTTGTCATGATGCTCTTGGGGCTGAGAACAAAGTCCACCCTTGTCACCCATGAAATATGTCAACTAATTCCTAGTCAAGGTCCTTTCCAGGGAACATGTATGTTCGTTAGTATTTCTTTCTCCTCTATGTGTGTGGTGTGCGTATGAACGTGAGGGTGAGTGTGCCCTGTATGTGTGTTGTATGTGGGTGTGCACATGTGTGTGAGGGTGAGTGTGTCCTGTATTTGTGTTGTATGTGGTTGTGCACGTGTGTGTGTGTGCCCTGTATGTGTGTTGTATGTGGGTGTGCACATGTGTGTGAGGGTGAGTGTGCCCTGTATGTGTGTTATATGTGGGTGTGCACATGTGTGTGAGGGTGAGTGTGCCCTATATATATGTTGTATGTAGGTGTGCCCATGTATGTGAACGTGAGTGTGCCTTGGCTGCATGTGTAGAGGTCAGAGGTTGGAATCGTGTGTCTTCCTCTATCATTTATCACTTTGGATTTTGAGACAGGGTCTCTTGCTGAGCCCAGAACCTCACTGATTGGCTAGGCTGGATGGTCAGTCACCGACTCCACACCCTCCTCTTCACAGGATCCTCTTGTTTCTGCCTCTCAGCACATCCCACTAGGCCCACCCAGCTTTTTACATGGATCTGGGATCCAAACTCAAGTCCTCATGCTTGATTGGCAAGAACTGTACCCACTCTGATGTATCCCCTGCTCCGGAATCTATTTCCTTTACACATTTGTTGTGGAAATACTTTCTTAAGTAGCTTTTCATGACTGATGTGATTTCTACGTTTTAAAAAAGTTTCATGGGCGAAACAGTGGAGAACAAGTCTGATGTGGGATACTTCTGCGTGCTGTGAATATGGCTTATTACATATTGGTTGGCTGATAAAGTAGCTGATTTGGCCAATAGCCAGGCAGAATAGAGCTAGATGGGAAATCCAAGCAAAGGTAAAAGGAAAAAGAAGGCAGAGTCTAGGAGATGCCAGCAGCCTCCGGAGAAGCAAGATGTGAGGTAACAAGCCACGAGTCTCGTAGTAAAATATAGAATAATAGAAATTGGTTGATTTAAGTTGTAAGAGCTAGTTAATAAAAAGCCTGAGCTAATAAGCCAGTTTTTAATTAATATGAAGCTTCAGTGTGGTTATTTAGGAACTGGCAGGTGGGAGAGAAACCTCCAGTTACACGAGCCACTTAGCTCTCACCAGCAGAGTGGGCTCAGGCATGACACCACGGCTCTGTATGGGCTCAGAGATGACATCCTTGCTCCATGCGATGGCTCCCCTGAGGTTGCCTCCCGTAAGAGACTGTGGAAGGCCTTTCAGCCACAATACTTTCCCTTCCCAGGTCCAGTTCAGGCATAGGACATACCTCAATATGTGACTCCAAGAAGCCCTTACAAGGCAACAGCAGATGACAAAAGCCAAGAAGCCCGTGTGCCATTGCTAACCCAGACTTTGGCCTGAGGTTTTGTTGGTTCCTTCCCCAACACATGGGAAGAGGTTCTGAGAGTGAGAGCCAAGAATGGAAGAGATTAAGCTACTCGATGATGCCAAAACCCTTCTGGAAGACAGAAGAGAGATTTCTATCTCTTTGTTGAGACAGGCTTTCTCTATGTAATCCTGGCTGTCCTGGAATTCACTATGTAGACCAGACTGGACTCGAAATCACAGGGATTAAAGGCATGTGCCATCAGATCCAGTTAAGAGAGGGTTTTTACCCTACTTAGCTATTCAAGACAGTGTTTATCTGTGTAGCCCTGGCTGTCCTGGGACTTGCTCTTGTAAACCAGACTTGTAGGTTCGAGAACTGCCTCTGCCTCCCAAGTGCTGGGATCAAAGATGTGTACCACCTCTTCTGGCTCAGGAGAATATTTTAAATGCTAACCTTTCCTGGAGGCTTTGGAGGTTGAATTCTCCCTTTCTGCACACAGTAGGTCTTTCAGGGAAGTTGTAGATTGGTTGAATAATCAGTAAGACTAAGTATAGTCACTCTTCTTGTATTTTGATGTTTGTTTGTTTGTTTGCTTTTGACAGAGATTCTCATTACCCAGACTGACCTTTAACTTGTGGTCATCCTGCTTTAGCCTCCTGGGGGCTGTAATTCCAGTCATGTGTCCCTTTACCCACCTTAATAAAGCCCCTCTTTTAGGGGGAGAATAGGAATACTTACTGCAGTGCTCACGCGAGGTAACAGGAACCCAAACCCATAGCGTGTCCTAACAGAGTCCTTAATCTATTGGAGCCGTTATACATGACTGGGTTTAGATTCACTGGGGTCTCACGAGACAAGAAAACAAGAAATCTTCTATCTAGTTATGGCTAACTCCTCCATAGCTGGCACAATTCTCTTTGCTGTTGACGAAATTGCAAAGTGTTAAGAAAATGGGACTCAGCTTGGCCGTGGTGGTGCACACCTTTAATCCCGGCACTCGGGAGGAGGCAGAGTCAGAAGGACCTCTGAGTTCAAGGATAGCCAAAGCTTACACACAGAAACCCTGTCTCAAAAAATTAAGGAGTGGGGCAGGGGGAAAGAAAAGAAAGAATCCAAGACTTCTTGGATAGAAACTGTTTGCTGTGCGCCTGGCAATGGTTCATGTCACCTGTTGGGCATTAGGAACGGCAGCGTAGGTGAGTCTATGTTCGCTGGAAAGCATTTCCCTCATAAGCTATGTAGGCAGGAACGTGCAGGCCTTGCCTCGCAAGGCCTGGCTGTCCCTAGGGAGAGTGACAGAGGTGCCAGGTTGTTTTCTGAATGCTGGAGATTTGCTTTTGTTGTTTTAATCAATAGCACTTTTTTTTTTCAAGGCAAAGTCAAACCCAGCCACTTTGAGGGTGCTCTGATTTGGCTGCAAGGATGGACAGAGGTCCTTTGTCATTTGAAAGGTCTCAATTGTGTATTGAGGGATGGAGAAGGGAGGAGATAAAAGCCCATATAGGTCAGGCAGCACTCCTTTGACCAACTACTTTAAGGGTATTTAAAAAAAAAAAAAAAAAGGAAGTAGAATTTAAAGGACTCTCCCTGCTCCAAATAAGGATAATTTCTGGTAGCCATGCTTAGCCAAAAGTCTTTAGTTGACATCATTTCAAGCTTGCTGTTTTTCTTTATTTTCTGTGTCTTTGTGGATGTTATCTAACGGAAGAAAGAAAAAGGCCAAACACCATTTGGGAGCACTGAAGTAACTGAACTCGGCTGAACTGAACCGGTGAGCTGGGGGAATGAATACAACATTTCAGAATATAGGGCAATCCTTTGTCAAAGGCAGCGCTGGGCGATGGAAATGAAGCTGCAAATGCTGACCTTGAATTTCCTGGTAACATTGAGTACTTGTCTGTTCCTAGCCCGGGTTTGCACTTGCCAAACAGCTTAAGTTGGTGCTGTTTCCTTTGTTTGCTGAAGGGAACGTGGGCCCTTTATCGTGGGCCCTTCTGGGTTTGAACTGAATCTTTGTTTGGTTTGGTTTTGTTTTACTTTGCTCGAGACGCTTTGCTTTGATGGAGATATGACCACACTCTGGACGTCAGGCTGGCCTCAACCTTGCCATCCCCCTGCCTCAGTCTGTTGGGGGCTAGGATGACAGTCACAAGCCAAGGCTTAAAGGTATCGTGTTGGAATGCTCATCTGATGGCAAACCGATGTAATATGGGTGAATATATACAGAATGAGTTTGAAACTGAGAAGTGCTACTTGCTAACCCTGCAGTGATCTTAATATCTGCAGATATCAGAATCCTGCAATTTGCGAGTCTTTATTATCCTCGGTTTAGAGAGGCACTGCTGGGGACAGCAGGATGGTGGTGTATTTTTAAGTATATGCTTCATTTAATATGACAGGGGCAGGGGGCTTGGGCTGTCTGCCTCCGAGCCTACTTTGCTTCCAAGACCAATACATCCTCCAAAGAAGAAAACTTGGTGTTTGTAACATATGTGCCTTGATATTAATGAATGTAGCTACAAAATATATTTGGTTTAGTGTAGTCTTTAATTCAGTTGTTACTGATATATTCTACTTGAAGAAAAAAAAATCAAAATGCAGGAAAATCGAGTGCTAATGGATTTTTGTTTAAGCCCAACATTCCGGCAAAGTCTTAGAGACACTGTAGGTTCAATCTGCCCCTGACTATGGTTACCTGCATTAGCCAAAGTTGGTATAGAGATGGAGGATGTGGATGGGTCCGAATTGTTAGGATCAGGTTCTCACATCAATTGAAGGAAGTAGACTTAGACATTTTGCACTGATTTCCAGTAAATAAGGTTGAAACAGAAAGCATGTCCAAAATAGCACGGGCACTTAGGCTAAGGGCAAACTCAGAGGCCAGATGATTCTTGGCTCTGCTGCCTCCTCTCTGAGGAACTTTGGACAAAGGACTTAGCGTGTTTCCTTCTCTGGATCATATCTAAAAATCGGTAGAGTGTAGTTCATCTAGTAAAGAAGACTAAAGAGTTAATGCATGCAGTGGACCAAAAACAGTGCCTAGCACAGACTGGGTATTTAATGTATGTGAGTCATAATAATTTGTTTACAGGTGGATAGATAAGGGTGCTGAGTCAGAAAGAGGGGGAAGGCCATTTCCTGTTTCTGCACAGGACGATAGCAAATGTGTGTGGAGGTGGAGGCAGGAGGATCAGGAGTTCAAGACCTTCACAGCTGCATGGGGATTTTGAGGCACCCTGTAACTTGAGACTCTGTCTCTAAATAAATAAGTAAATCAATTAGTAAGGGACATGGGACACTTAGGTTGGGGACACTTGACTGTCTTTGGGGAATGTTCAGTTTGAACTCTCTCTGTTTATCATCAGAGCTATCAAGTGGGCAGCAGACATGGCCTTTTCTGGATGATAGCTAAGTTTTCCAGCTATCACAGACTCTCTTTGGTTTTTCTGCAAACTTCTTGTAAGCTCCCCACAACCCCAAGTTCCACAAGCTTCAGATTCATGAATAATAACAAGCATAATAATGGAATATATTAAAAATTCATCAAGTATGTTTTAAAGAGAGGATTTCTTTCCGAAGTCCTAAATGTCATATATAAAGGTGATATGTAAACAGAAACAGAAACACGTCATGAGCAAAGCAGCGCTGAGACTGGACATAAAGGCCAGAAAAAGAGTCCACTTTCCTGTGTCTTTCTCCTACCCATTCAGTTCATTCTTGGTTGGGTTTGGTTTTGTTCTGGGAATGGAATGAAGGCCTTGCATATGCCTGTCTTGGGCAGTATAGTCCCAGCCAGTTTCTTACTTTTTATTTTGAGGCACAGTTTGCTAAGTTGTCCAGCTAGATTTGAGCTCACAATGGAGCTTGCAATCCTCTAGCCTCAGCTTCCTGAACAAGCTGGGCCGCAGGCTTGCTCTACCAGGCTCAGCTTCCATGTATTCATGCGGACAGAGACTAGTCACCAGGCACTAACTGTGAACTCAGACTGTCCTAGGCAAGGATGTGACAGCGAACACAACAGACAAGGATCTCTTTGTTGATGGAACTTTTAGTCTGGATCAGCATAGAAGTTAGGAGGAAGAGACAGTCAACGTAATACACAGATACAGAATACACCTCACATCCATTCAGATGGCTGCCTTTTAAGAAAAAAAAAAACAGAAAATAGGGCTGGAGAGAGGGCTCAGTGGTCAAGAGCACTGGCTGCTCGTCCAGAGGACCCAGGTTCAGTCCTAGAACCCACATGGCCACTCACTATCATTTGTAACTCCAATATCCAGGAATCTCATGCTCTATTCTGGTGTCCACAGGCATTGCATGCATGTACTACACAGACATACATGTGTGGGGATGAGGAGGTACACTGATAAACATAAAATATTTTTTATGAAAGAAAAAGAGAAATGCAGCTGCTGTTGAGGATGGTATTGGTGGCTTATCAAAATATTAAAAATAAAATTGCTGTGATCCATCAATCCCACCTCAGGGTGTGTATGTTTTAAAAGATTGAACGAGACGTACTAAGAGGATATGTGTACCTCACCCATAGCAAGCATCACTCATAATAACCAAAAGGTTACTGACAGACGAGCAGACAGACAAGAGTGTGCCACAGGCGCACTTGAAACGCTGACCTGCGAAGAAGAAGAAAAATGTTGACACATTATACAAACATGGGCAAAACTAGGGAGCACTGTGCCAAGTGAAATACCAGTTACAAAAAGATTATGATTCCATGAATATGAAATTCCAGAAATAAACCAAAAAGTAAATAATAATAATAATAATTGTTGGGGGCCAGAGAGAGGGAGACCAGAGAATTGGTCAGTAGACATTGGGTTTTGTTTTGAAGGGTGGGGATAGTTGTGCATATATTTTCTGTAAAGCACATGTGCTCAACTGTACCCTGAGAAGGCTTAAGATGGGATGCTGACGGGCGGTGGTAGCGCACGCCTTTAATCCCAGCACTCGGGAGGCAGAGGCAGGAGGATCTCTGTGAGTTCGAGACCAGCCTGGTCTACAAGAGCTAGTCCCAGGACATGCTCCAAAGCCACAGAGAAACCCTGTCTTGAAAAACCAAAAAAAAAAAAAAAAAAAAAAAAAAAGATGGGATGCTGAAGTCATTGGTTCACCCCTGTGATCCTACAGCTTCGTAGCCTGGTCAGGAGGATGACAAGTTGAAGGCCAGGCTAGACCAAATAATGGGCGTGGATGGAAGGAGAGGGGGGTGGGTTAAGGCAACAAATTCCGAGTACTTGAACACACAAGGAGAGAAGAGAATACATGAAGTAACAAGGGATAAATCCAAGCTGAAACCAATGAGCAGAGCAGAGTGTTAGGTGGCGTGTCAAACAGCTTCAAATCAAGAGGGCGACTATAACTCCCGGAGAACAGGAGTCGTCAGCAAGGCCTGGAAGGAATTGTTTATCTCCTGGCAGCTGTAGTAGTCATGTACGTCTAAATCTCCCGGGGCCCATGGGTGCTGTGGCAAAGCTCAGACAGTGATCCGATAGTGTCACGTGTAGGCAGCTGATGTTGAAGCTGGGGATGGATGCGTTTCAACTTGATTAGAAAGACAATCCAGACACTCGGGTGGCACCTGCGCTGCCTTTAATGAGACGTCACCTGAGACCGCAGGTCAGGTTACGGCAATGATAAGTGCTTGTTCTTGTATGTGACCCTTTCTTAAGTCAAACTATAGCCTAGAAATAGAAAACAAAGGTGTGATTTTCTTTTTGCTTACTTTCTTAAATCTTAGCTTTGCAGGTTGTTATTTAGCCAGAAGAGTCTTGGCTTCCTGGGATCTGAGAAAACATTCATTTCTAGTATGAATTTTAAGCCCCTCATAAGCCTGGGATTTTGCCAAGCTTCAGCTGACCTTCTTGTCAACTCCTAAGTAAGGAAGGAGCTCAGATTATGCTCATTCCACTTACTCTTTACCTAATAGATCATATGGCATGGAATAGTGAGCCACCTAGAAAAGTCTGTGACCTGGATGTGTCCTATCATGAACTTAGGAGGCCAGCATAGACAGGCATCAAGTTACCACCATTCAAGCCAATATTTTGTCGTTATGACAGATTTTGGAAGGAATTGGTAATGTTTGGAGTCTTGAATTGAATCCCACATGTCATTTTTTTATGTCATTTTTCTAGATGTAATAAGAAAATAATGAATCTCTGCTCTACAAGCAGGAAGCTGCCCCCTCCCCCACCCTGTACTGAACGTGAAAGGGCAATGAGCACATATGGGTGGCCAATGACTTTGCTCCTCCTATAATCCCGTCCTCTAGTCAAGGGGTTCTGAAGCTATACTCCAGGGATGAGATGGGGATAGAAACAGCTCCTTTTGCTCTGTTCTTTCTATACTATAACAATCATTACAGATTGTCTGGGGGGGGGAAAAACATAACATAAACCTTGAAAATGGCCCCTACTCCAGTTTTTGGTAACCATTACCACCATGGTGGGATATGGTGACACTCAGGCAGACGTGTAGGAGAAGGAGCTGAGAGTTCTACATCTTGATCCATCCTGAGCACAGCTTGAGCAAAAGAGACCCCAAAGCCCACTGCCACAGTGACACACTTCCTCTAACAAAGCCACACCCACTTCAACAAAGCCACACCTCCTAATAGTGCCACTTTATTTGGAGGCCATTTTTTTTTCAAACTACCCATGCTTTCACAGTAAAGAAAAGAGGTATTTTTCTTCATCTTTGTGCACACCCAGCTGATTACAGTCATCTACCCGTGGTTATCGAGCCTCTGGT